CATTTGATCTTGTAAACTGCTCCCTGTCTGTTGTTAGGTTCGTCCCTGTCTTTAACGTTGGTCAGTAAGTCGTAACGTAGTTTTAGGTTTGTGGGCTATACGGATGTTGAGCTAGCTGTAGGATCCGTGAGATGGTCTCAGAAGGTAAAGTCACTACCCTCAGCCGGACGATTACACTATACGAACTACTGATACTTCTGGGTTCAAACCATTTACTTTGATACATTATCATATGACCCGTAGGGCCCCCCGCGCAATTTCCTTGGAAAACCACAAGAAAAAAGGTCCCGTGTGAGGGCCGTACGCGTTCGAAGTGATAGGGCCGGAAAAACATGTACGGCCCTACTACAAGTGCGTACGGCCCTACAAGGAACGCGTACGGCAAAATCTATGCGAGTTAATGACAAAAACAATTTTGCTTCTGCAAAATTTTATTCTCTTCAAATTGAGTGATGAAAGTGAACATTCTGAGAGCGAATTTTACTATCCAGACAAACTGACCGATGCAGAACTACTTTAGTTGTCAACTCAGTCCGAAACCAAAGAAAGAAAGTCAACACCCCTCACAATTGAAGAAATTCACAACTTTCTCAGGACTTCTCAGGAGCCAAAAACAAACAAACAGGCGGTCAAGAAAACAACTTTCCAGATGAACTGTCCGATAATTAGCCTTTGGAATAAGCAAACAGCCTTGAGGCGAAACTTTTTTCAGTGGAAAGCATCAAAGAGTTCACCCTGGGTCAAAAGCAAGAGAACAACGTGAAGAAAACAAAGTACGATATGAATGTTTTCCTCAGTTCTATTCGCGTTCAGAGCCTGAATTTTTTTCAGATCATTTTTCCAGTAGTGTTATGGCTGCATTCGCATCTTTCATTCCTTTATTATTTAATTGCTACTTTTGGACATCTATTACCATGGAGGAAATGAATTTTTACATGTATTTCACAACATAATCTTGCGTTGCTATTTGGCTTTACGCTGTACATCTATCAATAGTTCAATTCCTTTTCATGGTATAGTATATTAACTCTACCCTTAAATATCACTGGAATTCTACATAGAGATAGGACCCCTCCTAAAAGTGACTGTAAGGACATACAGTTGCAGATTTGACAGCTGTGCAGTATTAAACGAACAGCACACAGTTACATAATTAGATCCATTCTCTGCCGCAAAATGCAACATCCAGATGGCAAAATCACTCTGGCATAAATACACCGATTCCAGAAAAAAACCGGAAGTTGCACGCAAGCGAGGCTTAATAGCCCTCGAACTTTCAAAATGGCGGAGGAAATGCTGGGGAAGAACGAAAAAATTCGAATGTATGTAGGTTAGAGCTACTTGTCTGGAGCAAATGTGG